CCAAAATTATTAGGATACATCCGATACAAACTAACCCCAAATTAACAACAGTCGCGCCCAATTCGACAACTGAGTTGAAACCAATCCAACAAAAAACGGGGGCCGTACTAACCCCTAAACCCCAACCCTAGCATACTCACCGCACTCAACCTAATGATCGCAATCAGAGGAGCTCATTCCATAATCCGGAAATTCACCAACGATGAAGAAATTCTAAGCAACATCCCGCCCGAAGTAGGAGAGGCAGCACTGATGGACAATACCGGTCGCAGCTTGAAGTCCTTTGTCAGCGACGGTGGACGATACCGGTCGCAGCACAGGTCCGTTGTCTTTCTCCCAGAGGTCGGCGTTTGTCGATGCACTCTCCTCCATCCCCAGATCATCGTCTAGGTCATAATCGCATTACACCATCGTTTTCCGTATCTATAATCGGTCGGCAGAGCCCCTGATTAGGTCGTAATACTGATATGTACGATGGGCAGATCCTGCCCGTCGACCAGCCCCACATCTCTCCCCTTCCTTACACGGTCAAACAAGGATCACCAACTCTCGTCGGCCAAGATCAGGCTATGGCAAGTGCATGATAGTGCCCCCTTGAAGCAGTCTCCTCCTCAGCGCCCGTGTGCTCTATTGCCTCCCCGCCTCCGCCATTCCCAACAGCAAGCTCTGGCTAGACACAGCTAATTCGCAGCTGCCCCCGCGCGATCCCCCGCCGCCTGCGGATCGTAAGAGAAACACAGTAGCGCAGCATACCGCTGTGCTAGAGCGTATCTCTAGCGCGTATCTCAAATTTAAACACCTTTGTTTGCTGGCTTTGTAGATGTTCTCTAGCTAATGAGGAAGTAATTTTGCTCATGTTTTGTAATAATTAACAGTCTCTTTTTTTTTCTTTTTTTCTTTTTTTTTCCTGAATGGGAACAAAGCTCCAGTCTATTCATGGGGAACAGCAGGTGCTGGTAACCAGGCCCAGCATCCCATATGAAGATTTTAACAGATTGTTGAAATGTACCGGGGCCATTACCCGGCTTCAGCTGAGAAAAACGAACTTAAGCACAAGTCAGAGAACCACTACCAATCTTCACCGGAATTGAACGCCCGGTCATTATAGCTGTATTTGGACCACTTGCAGTCCACATGCGGCCATAATGACTGGGCGTTCTGTTCCGGTGAAGACGGTAAGAAACTTTTAGGAATATAGAACTAACTTCTGCCGAATCACTCATTAATTGCCTGAACCAAATGCCACCATTTACTGAGACTAATCAAGAGCCTGAAAACTGAATGCCAACCTACCCCCCCACCACCACTCCTCTCTCTCTCTCTCTCTCTCTCTCTCTCTCTCTCTCTCTCTCTCTCTCTCTCTCTCTCTCTTC